AACATTCATTGAATAACAGGTTGCTAAAGAAATCAAAAGACAAGTTAGAAATCGTACAAAAAACAGATTTAAAAAAGAACTAAACAGACGGGAAAAAATAACATTTTGTCTCTTGCAGGGGTGTTTTTTGGAAGGACAGGAAGCCAGGCCTGAAGAGCAGCATTTGGACATGGCCAGAACATAGATGTATAGTGATCGCTACGTTTTATCTGTGCCATTATGGCGTCTGTGACAGCAGGCTCAGCGCCATTGAGGCTTTCTCCATTTTAAAGTAGTACATTTCCTTCTTTTGATGTTTGAAAAAAGTGTAAAGCTAATATTGGTGACTTACTATCACCTGCAGTGATGGAGTCTTGAACCAAATCGTGTTTCATTTGTGGCCGCTAGATGGCAGTCATATAGCTTAAAGCCAATTACAAACTAGGCAAACTAATTTGAAGAAGAAAATAATGCTCTGCTCATTGGCCAATCACTCCCAACCCATAGGAATCCCCATCCAGTTGACCATTTTAAAATGGCGTAAGCCCTCAATGGCAATGTCCATGCAAAAACAGGTTACTTCCATGTTATGATCTCTATACATCGCTATGGGCCAGAGGCATCTTTGGTTCGGTCGAACAAACAAAGGTAATAGGAGCGTAAGCATTCCACAAAAATATATGCATACCGGTACATATACAAGGAATGCTGGGGCTAAACCCGGCAATGTAGCCAAATGACATTGTCTTCACACATTATCCCAGTTGTGTCAGTATGAACAACGGCCACTCATCCATGGGCAGAGGTGTGTTTAAACTAACTGCAAATGAGCAGTCAGAATTACCTTTTGAAGGACACCAGGAAAAATCACATCACATTTGACTGAGATTAATTGATATTCATGAACCTTTACGTTCAGTCATTTCCATGTTAAAGTTACATGATATACTTACGGTCATACGGAAGACTGATTCATGAATGGCAAAGAATGGTCCTAGTCAAATGTCATACAAGAATTATGTGAGCATCCTGATGATGTCAGCAATCACTCACCTGGCTCACTAAACCTGCCAACTTACATGCATGACAATATTAAATGAGAAGCACGACTTCCTTTGAGGGAGTTTGTAAGAGCCAGAGTTGAGTGAGAGCCTTCTGTCAGATTATCTTTTAAGCAGATAATCAACCCCATGGACGAGTGAATGATACAGGTCAGCTATAAAAACTCACGATTTAACAGGGGTAAAACATGAAGTGTTATGGGTGTGCTTCTAAGAGGAATCTCCAGTCATGGGCTGGACAGGGAAAGGGGCCTACGATGGGAGGCTGGAGAGGGGCGATAGAACCCTTTTACTCTAACTCTTTACTGTCCCAGCCCAGGAGAGAATGTCCCCTTCTGATGCCACAATCTACTGAACGACAGACTACACCTTTAACCCCCAGGCCATGAGGCAGGGAGTTGGGAGGGGGGTTAGTTGTGACTTCTTGTCCTTTCAAACCTGCAGGGTGTTGACTTACACTGGTAGGAAAAAAACACCTGTTGAACAGATCTGCATATATCAAGGATAATAAGTCTGATATGATCGATGAGTCCGCATGACCAGTCACGAAACCCGCAACCGCCCCAACATGAGGTCCAATAGCACCATTTTATTTATTTCTGATGATTTATACGAGTCTCTAAGCCTTAGATGAAGCGTGTCGGGGATTAAACCATACTGTATGTTTTATATACATACACACATGCAACACAATGGATTGTGTATACATACATCAGCAAGTATGTAAAAGAGAATGACGGACTTGGTTTTGCAGCAGGAAAATGTTCCGCTTGTGCTGTAGTGAATGGACCAGAAAATGGGTACCTGACTGTTCAACAAGAGGGAAAGCTTGTCCTGCAGTTCTCTGAAAACTGTTTTTGTGACAAACTACTAGGCCAATATATCTCTTTAAGTAGGCCTCCTTTGTCCTGTCAATGTTGTTGAGCAGCATTTCCCTGACCCCAAGAGGATAATATGAAGGAAATGCCATCCAATCTCTGAGCAGGGAACCACAGAGAACAGGGTAGATAGACCATTATCACAATAACATCTGAACCTTGCATGTCTGTGGACCAACCACTTCTACACTAGGCTATATTAATTAAGTAAGCTGGGGTTTCTAAGTCTAATGGCCTGGTGTGACTACAAGGAAGGTTCCCACCTGCCTCCCACTACAATGTGTCTATCTGAGGGTGAATGGGTGAATCAGGTTTTTAAGGCCCTTCACTGCCCTGTAGGTTGAGGTCAGGGTTAGACAACAGTACAGGACAGAGGAACACTCAGGGCATCATTTCACTGGTCCATAATTTATTAAATCAACAACTGAAATCTGGGTCATTTCGGGTTACTGTGGATGGAGTGCCAAAAGCCCTTAACATTTTGCATATAAAAATAAAATAAAAAGGATTAACCCTACTGTCAGTTGGTAAAAGCTGTTCCAAAATTATTTTTTTATTTTTTTGGTACAAGCACCTCTCAAACCTGTACAATACACGGAGGTCATGAGCTAATCCAGTAACTACACTTGATAAAACATACCAACTACTGGGCATTGATGTGACTGACAATAAGGAATACTTGAAGAGGAAATGGCCTCACTGGTCCTTTGAAATCCCTGGCTCTTTATGTAGGGTTTGATTGAATGCAGCTTGACCATCCTTTCCCAGTTTCCTCTGCATCAGTTTCAACCAGCTCACCAGTCTGCCAAAACAGCTGACAAGAAATACCAACAACCCATGCATGGTTTCTAGTGGCACAGAGATGGGGAGCAACTGGTCCTGAAAACAGCAAGCACCTCAACAAACAGCAGCCTGTCATGAGGAAATAACGGATTTCAACAACTCAACCCACGATGAACAGTGCCAAGGGTTTAAGGTTAGCTAGACGCTACCTCCAGAAGCCTCCACAAGAGCTAACATTTGACGAGAGCACATGAAAGTGCACAGCTATGGCAACCGTCAGTCATCAAGCATGTAATGTCAAATGTGGATGTAAACATTGATTAGACCTACATCAAGTTTCATTATTTGTCATTGTGGCCACAAGCTTCAGTTAAAATGGTATAAAAGCAGTGGAGGTGACGAGAACTCTAACAAACACAAAGGAGCTCAAGCGCTGGGGTGTATTCATTTGTCGGATCCCGTTGCAAAATGTTTTGCAAATGTAAAACTTTTCTAAATGAAAACGAGTTTCTATTGGACAAATTCAGGTAGTCCTCCCGTTTTGTTCCGTTTGCCCTGTTTACTCTAGGAACCAAACAGTAAATGTTTTTTATTGCAAAACGTTTTGCAACAGACTCCAACTAATAAATACACCCCTGATGCTAACCGAGTAAGTCCAGATAATGTCTCACAGGCCCAGATTCCTAACCAGGACCAAAACACAAACTTTGAGAGGAAACCCCATTTTTGGGACCAAAGCCACCAGAATAAAGTAAACTCGTAGAGGAAGTAAACACAGAGGTTATGGATAGATAGGGGGTGGAGAGAAAAGCAAACATCTCAAGCCTACAAACCAACCACATGCATTAAAAACAGAATATGGCTTTTAGTAGTTTTAGCATATCCCTGTCATTAGACTCAAGTCTCATTCATTGGATTTTCCTCTCAAACCAACTAGCATGGAATAACAGGATGAAGGCCTTTTTCTCAGAGGACAATGCACTCTGCAGTCAACTCTCCAACCCTACCACACCACACCCTCCAGCCCTGCAGTCAACTCTCCAACCCTACCACACCACACCCTCCAGCCCTGCCGTCAACTCTCCAACCCTACTACACCCTCCAGCCAACTCTCCAACCCTACCACACCATACCCTCCAGCCCTGCCGTCAACTCTCCAACCCTACCACACCCTCCAGCCAACTCTCCAACCCTACCACACCACACCCTCCAGCCCTGCAGTCAACTCTCCAACCCTACCACACCCTCCAGCCAACTCTCCAACCCTACCACACCTGTGGATCACTTTCACTAGTGGCCTGCTTCACAGAGACAAGGGACAGATTACCTATTTTGACGCAGCCATGATCAAGCTAAAATGAAGTTGGAAAGAAGAGCGAGCGAAAATATCTGAGCTGGAGCCGAACAAATTAAATGAAAGTTTCATTACAAAACACCATGAACACTCAGGGGTGGAAATGAATGGCTCTGTCATATATTTTGTCATGATCCTATTCCTAATTTAATATAGCGGTTTCAATCTCCTGTCAGATGTGAACTTAACAAACTTCTAACCACACACAGAAAAGCAAACACATTTGTGTGGCAATGTGATAAAGAAGACCAGCAAATACTGGTGGCGTGGCATCACAACCCTACAATCTACAATATTGGGTATACAAGTCCCAACATCTACTCTAAACTACAGCACTACAACGGTTTACAAAGGCCAAACCAACCTTAAACAGTCAATAATTTCTTGAGAGGAATCGCAAAATTGAGGAAAAGATAGAACCTTCCAGAACGGCTGTTGGCTTGCTACATGATACAAATAATGCCAATCCGGCCACTAAGAAAGGATTAAACGGAAAATACAAATAATGGGACACTGTAGCTAAGCCTACACAAAATATGAGCCTATACCTTTATGCAAGACTAATTTACCATATATATGACTTGCTTCCATCCACAGAATCAAAAGCCTGATTAGGATTGTTTGAAAATAATAAACATTTAGGAAAATCTAGTATTTGTGAACGAAAATAAGAACTAAAGGAGTTATATATATATATATATATGCTGCAAAAACTAAATCAATAGGAGGATAAAAATAAAACGATTTTTGTTTTTTCTCATCATTATCAATTGATGCTCATTTTGCCACCCGTTGCCACGTCAATGTCTGGGAGAGCGTCAGCATGGCAACGGAAACTATCATCATAAAATTGTACAATAGTAGAGATAGCTAGACCAGGAGGGGGCGGGCTCTCCTGGGAAAAGGTCCGCAGAGAGGTCCAGTGATTGGTCATGCGGCTCGCTGTCAGGAATAATGGTTGTATGGGGGTAGAGGGTGCCCGGTGCCATTCTGATAATGATGGTGCTGGCGGTGGGCGATGTACTCAGCATAGCTCATCGTCATCTTCTCGCTACGGTACCTGAGCAGGAGGAGAGGGAAGTTAGAGAAGGAACAGTTACCCCAATTTACCTGGCAGTGGCCCTATAATCTCTACATCCTAATGCTGCTATGGATGTAGCAGTACTCCTTCACTGATTTCTGTCTGTACTTTGGCAAACAGGACCATGGTGGGCTTTGGGAGGGTCACCTACAGTAATTATGCACCAGTGCCATATTCCCAGCAGTGGGCAACACTTACACTGTCATAATCTACACTTAAGGCAAAACCAAGGCCAGCAGTAGAAGTCAGACAGCATCCGGTGTGAAAGGAGCCTCTCTTACCTGGTCAACTTAATGGTCTTCCTGAAGTCATTTGTGATGGGAGCTTTGTAGCCTCCCTTTCGTAGTAAGGAATCTATGGTCTGAATGTGGTCCCATCCTGCACAGAGAAGGTTATATCCCCTTGAATATCCCCCTTGATATCCCCTTGAATACCACTTCTCTCTAGAACCAAGACCTTCAGTCATACAGAGATTATACAAAGGTGATGGGACACACGATTTCACTTACCTTGCTCTTTTGCGACCTCTGGTAGGTAGGTGGCGGTGCGCTTTGATCCTTTTTCATTGAAAAACTCTATCCTAATGCCATGAACACCCACCTACAGGCCAGAGAAAGAATGGAGAGAGAGAGAGAGAGAGACGGAAGAACGGACATCACTTTAATGACAGGACCAACACAGACAAATGCCTATATATACACACTACATGTCTTCGGCCACACACTCCAGAAAAACTACAGCATTACCTAACAGTGTTACTAACTTATAGAAGTACGAGATACCATACCCGGTCACAGGGAGGGCTAACTCTTGAAATTCCTTCTGTCACAACAGATTTAGGAAAAACAGCTTTTAGTTTCTTCGCACCTCACTTATGGAACAATCTTCAGAGTTCCCTACAGTTGGATGTATTAGTTCCTTTTAGGCAATTCAGATTGTTGGTTGAGGGTCAGGATCCGGTCAAGATAGCTCGGGGGATTGTTCCAGTTATAATCGAAAACGTCCAGGTGACACACAATCCCCCACCCATGCCACGGCCTTTGTCCCACCCTACCCCCACCCGAGGCCCACTCTGTACTGTAGCCCCTCTGGGTCAGCAAGGTCACTGCTTACGTCCTCACAACAAAGACAGAGTGCCTGTGTATGTTGCTTGTCTGCCTAAATCATGCTTGCTGTGTGGATCTCCAGGCTGCAATGGGGTCCAGTTCACTCAGGCCACTGCAGCAGCGTCCTATTCCTATTTCATTCTCATCTCTCCCAGTGTACTGCACAGTGTGGAGAGTGTACTGCAGTGTGGAGAGTGTACTGCAGTGTGGAGAGTGTACTGCACAGTGTGGAGAGTGTACTGCTCAGTGTGGAGAGTGTACTGCTCAGTGTGGAGAGTGTACTGCTCAGTGTGGAGAGTGTACTGCTCAGTGTGGAGAGTGTACTGCACAGTGTGGAGAGTGTACTACACAGTGTGGAGAGTGTACTGCACAGTGTGGAGAGTGTACTGCACAGTGTGGAGAGTGTACTGCTCAGTGTGGAGAGTGTACTGCTCAGTGTGGAGAGTGTACTGCAGTGTGGAGAGTGTACTGCACAGTGTGGAGAGTGTACTGCTCAGTGTGGAGAGTGTACTGCTCAGTGTGGAGAGTGTACTGCTCAGTGTGGAGAGTGTACTGCACAGTGTGGAGAGTGTACTGCTCAGTGTGGAGAGTGTACTGCTCAGTGTGGAGAGTGTACTGCAGTGTGGAGAGTGTACTGCACAGTGTGGAGAGTGTACTGCAGTGTGGAGAGTGTACTGCTCAGTGTGGAGAGTGTACTGCTCAGTGTGGAGAGTGTACTGCACAGTGTGGAGAGTGTACTGCACAGTGTGGAGAGTGGGAGAGTGTACTGCACAGTGTGGAGAGTGTACTGCACAGTGTGGAGAGTGTACTGCTCAGTGTGGAGAGTGTACTGCTCAGTGTGGAGAGTGTACTACAGTGTGGAGAGTGTACTGCACAGTGTGGAGAGTGTACTACACAGTGTGGAGAGTGTACTGCACAGTGTGGAGAGTGTACTGCACAGTGTGGAGAGTGTACTGCTCAGTGTGGAGAGTGTACGGCTCAGTGTGGAGAGTGTACTGCTCAGTGTGGAGAGTGTACTGCAGTGTGGAGAGTGTACTGCACAGTGTGGAGAGTGTACTGCAGTGTGGAGAGTGTACTGCTCAGTGTGGAGAGTGTACTGCACAGTGTGGAGAGTGTACTGCTCAGTGTGGAGAGTGTGCTGCTCAGTGTGGAGAGTGTACTGCTCAGTGTGGAGAGTGTACTGCACAGTGTGGAGAGTGTACTGCTCAGTGTGGAGAGTGTACTGCACAGTGTGGAGAGTGTACTGCTCAGTGTGGAGAGTGTACTGCTCAGTGTGGAGAGTGTACTGCAGTGTGGAGAGTGTACTGCTCAGTGTGGAGAGTGTACTGCTCAGTGTGGAGAGTGTACTGCAGTGTGGAGAGTGTACTGCACAGTGTGGAGAGTGTACTACACAGTGTGGAGAGTGTACTGCACAGTATGGAGAGTGTACTGCTCAGTGTGGAGAGTGTACTGCTCAGTGTGGAGAGTGTACTGCACAGTGTGGAGAGTGTACTGCTCAGTGTGGAGAGTGTACTGCTCAGTGTGGAGAGTGTACTGCAGTGTGGAGAGTGTACTGCTCAGTGTGGAGAGTGTACTGCTCAGTGTGGAGAGTGTACTGCAGTGTGGAGAGTGTACTGCACAGTGTGGAGAGTGTACTACACAGTGTGGAGAGTGTACTGCACAGTATGGAGAGTGTACTGCTCAGTGTGGAGAGTGTACTGCTCAGTGTGGAGAGTGTACTGCACAGTGTGGAGAGTGTACTGCTCAGTGTGGAGAGTGTACTGCTCAGTGTGGAGAGTGTACTGCACAGTGTGGAGAGTGTACTGCTCAGTGTGGAGAGTGTACTGCTCAGTGTGGAGAGTGGTACTGCACAGTGTGGAGAGTGTAACTGTCTCAGTGTGGAGAGTGTACTGCACAGTTGTGGAGAGTGTACTGCCTCAGTGTGGAGAGTGTAATGCTCAGTGTGGAGAGTGTACTGCAGTGTGGAGAGTGTACTGCTCAGTGTGGAGAGTGTACTGCCAGTGTGGAGAGTGGTACTGCAGTGTGGAGAGGTACTGCAAGTGTGGAGAGTGTACTACACAGGGTGGAGTTAGTGTACTGCACAGTATGGAGAGTGTACTGCACAGTATGGAGGAGTGTACGCACGTGTGGAGAGTGTATCTGCTCAGTGTGGAGAGTTTAATGCTCTGTGTGGAGAGTGTACTGCTCAGTGTGGAGAGTGTACTGCAGTGTGGAGAGTGTACTGCACAGTGTGGAGAGTGTACTGCTCTGTGTGGAGAGGTCTGCTCAGTGTGGAGAGTGTACTGCAGTGTGGAGAGTGTACTGCACAGTGTGGAGAGTGTACTGCAGTGTGGAGAGTGTACTGCTCAGTGTGGAGAGTGTACTGCTCAGTGTGGAGAGTGTACTGCACAGTGTGGAGAGTGTACTGCAGTGTGGAGAGTGTACTGCACAGTGTGGAGAGTGTGCTGCTCAGTGTGGAGAGTGTACTGCTCAGTGTGGAGAGTGTACTGCTCAGTGTGGAGAGTGTACTGCACAGTGTGGAGAGTGTACTGCACAGTGTGGAGAGTGTACTGCTCAGTGTGGAGAGTGTACTGCTCAGTGTGGAGAGTGTACTGCAGTGTGGAGAGTGTACTGCACAGTGTGGAGAGTGTACTGCTCAGTGTGGAGAGTGTACTGCTCAGTGTGGAGAGTGTACTGCTCAGTGTGGAGAGTGTGCTGCTCAGTGTGGAGAGTGTACTGCTCAGTGTGGAGAGTGTACTGCTCTGTGTGGAGAGTGTACTGCACAGTGTGGAGAGTGTACTGCAGTGTGGAGAGTGTACTGCACAGTGTGGAGAGTGGTACTGCCAGTGTGGAGTGTACTGCTCAGTGTGGAGAGTGTACTGCACAGTGTGGAGAGTGTACTGCTCAGTGTGGAGAGTGTACTGCTCAGTGTGGAGAGTGTACTGCTCAGTGTGGAGAGTGTGCTGCTCAGTGTGGAGAGTGTGCTGCTCAGTGTGGAGAGTGTACTGCTCAGTGTGGAGAGTGTACTGCTCTGTGTGGAGAGTGTACTGCACAGTGTGGAGAGTGTACTGCTCTGTGTGGAGAGTGTACTGCTCAGTGTGGAGGGTGTACTGCACAGTGTGGAGAGTGTACTGCTCAGTGTGGAGAGTGTGCTGCTCAGTGTGGAGAGTGTACAGCTCAGTGTGGAGAGTGTACTGTTCTCCGGTGCACTGTAAACCTCAACTGCTGGATTCACATGTGAAGGCTATTTAATTTCAATAAAAATTAAATGACTGAAGAGTTTTGCATAAGATGAATTAATAGCTACCTGTCTTGTTTGTCTCTTACCTCCCAGTCAAGGTAATCACCGACGTCCTCGAAGTTGGTGAGCAGAGACACCGAGCAGAAGAGGCGTGGCAGCTCGTCCCTCGTCACGGGGGGAAAGCGGCTGTCTTTAAGGGCACTGTGGAGACAACGGGGGACGTTTAGGGACAACATCAGCTTCATTACTTTGAACCAATTCCAACTGGAAGACCAACAGATTATCAAGGACAATGTCTACCTGAAGTACATATTTGCGTTTAATCTCATCTCACAGGGCATTATTGTTAGAATGAAAAGAAAGAGCAAATCTCTTTGATAAGAGAACACGTAAATGAAGAAACCCTGCAAGCATATTCCTTTATCCTTTCAGAAGACATTAGCCATTAAGTGACATCTTCCGTGCTACATTTCAGAAACAGCCTATCAGAGGGGATCTGAAAATAGAATGACCTGATGGCAGGTGAGTCTCCGTATTAGCTGGACCCACAGACTCTTCATTTCCACCCCCAACAGATCCTAATTTCCCCCCTCTCCCCCACTCCACTCCACCCTAACAAAATACTGCTGCCACCACCCTTCCTGCCCATGTCATGACAGCAGACAACACAGATGAATGGAGTCAGTTACAGTTTCTATGTGCCATAACCTACCACCACACCCTGTCCTAATTCACCCATAGGAGTGAAATGCCCCATGTGGTGATGGCATTCTGTCAGAGGGCTGTCTCTTCTACATGTATTTACTGATACAACACTCATTTGGTAACAACAAATGGTATGAACTGTGAACGCTGAACAGCATCCCTTTTAAGTCCATGATGTGTTAAATAGGACTCTGTTTCTTTCAGTCCAGGATTGGGAGTGACAAGCTGAGTTCAGCAGAAAGAGGCCCAGTTCTGTTTCTTACTAGAGGGAGATGTGGGAGAGAAGCACGGAGAAGCAACATAATGAACACATAAAACAGGCCGGTTCACTGCTTCTGGACCACATCACACAGCAAATGATCTCTCAGAGTAATTGACTTCTCAGGATCTGAGGGTACGCTGATGGCATGATAAGCCGAGAGAACCTGACCAGACAGCAGATTACTGGCCAGCTAAGGCGGAGTACAGGGAATCCATTTTTGTGTATATGTGAGTGGCTTTTCATCTTTGTATTGAGGAGGACAACACAGCAGAACAAACAGAACAAACGGATAAGCCTAAACTAAAGCACTTTCAGAGGCTACAATCTAGACTCAAGAGCTTTCAGAAGGTTATCTTGCATTTCAGAGGCCCTTAGCAAGCAACAATGACATCCCCCACGAGTCAGGCCCCTCCAATATCTGTCATTTCTCCTGTTTCACTGGCCCTCCCTTTTCCTGTGCTAACAACATGGTTAGCCTAATGTTGAGTTGGGTGGAAAACAGGAACATTTTAGTCACGATACACAGCATTGGGCTCCCGAGTGGCGCAGTAGTCTAAGGCACTGCATCTCAGTGCTTGAGGCATCACTACAGACCCCCTGGTTCGAATCCAGGCTGTATCACAACCGGCCGTGATTGGGAGTGCCATAGGGCGGCGCACAATTGGCCCAGCGTCGTCCGGGTTTGGCCGGTGTAGGCCGTCATTGTAAATAAGAATTTGTTCTTAACTGACTTGCCTAGTTAAATAAAGGTAAATAAAAAATAAAAACATTGTAGACATATTCTATAATGTCCTGACCTGGTATGACATTGGCTCTCAGAGCCTCAGTGGCTAAACAACAGCCATGGCTGGAGACATTCTAATGTCTGAGTTGCTGCAGCTCCAGTGTAAGATTCCATGGGAGAGAGGGGAATTCTACATGCTGCAGATCAGATTGATTAGAGGGCAGGGTTAGCAAATCTTTCCCAGACAGGAGACGCAAAAAGGATACACAAACAACAGCACCCACAAACCTCTGGCACTCACAGAAGAGTAGTGAGGCTTATCCTCTCAGATTAGTCATTAAACAACTAAATGTGTCTTTTAACTGAGCTGACCCTTTTATCCAAATAGGCTTGGATTAATACTGTATTTCACACGTGTTCACATTTATAGGCTACATTTAGGCCTATAGCTGAATACAAACACAAGACTCCACCCGAGGGTGAGTACAACAAGAACGTAACTAGCCTGCCTGCCTGGCTGGCAGTTTCAGAGCACCAGGTCATTGAGTTTGACATTGCTAGCAGCCCTCAAAAAGGTCTGTCTACTAAAACAAACATGATCGCAACCTCTACAAAATGGCTGCTCTGGACTTCAAGTGTAACACAGAGACAAAACATGCTTTGTAGATCCTCTGACAGCATCCTCCTCTACAGACTGCTGATGTAAGCTTATCCAAGGGACAGAATGAAATGATGAAATACCAGATGTGGATGCTAAACAGTGATCGGATTGGTATCTATCATTAGAAATGGAAAAGTTATTTTAATACCAGTTGTAGACAGGGTCTAACAATGAAGAGGAACATAATTGTCCCAGAGATAAATTAGGGAAGAGATGAGAGAATTCATGAGACTGACCTCACGAACGTTGTCAGTTACTGAAACAGGGCAACCAACACACACTAAAGTATGACATTCATACAGTGCATGTCAGATCATTGGGAGGGTGAGGCTATGCAGCAAGGCTGAAAGGCCCTTTTGACAGTAGTGCAGATCACATGACTAACACATGCAGATAAACAGAGACAGACAGACAGACAGAGAAAGAGACAGGCGGACAGAGAGACAGGCAGACAGAGAGACAGGCAGACAGAGAGACGGCAGACAGGCAGACAGAGAAAGAGACAGGCAGACAGAGAAAGACAGGCAGACAGAGAAAGAGACAGGCAGACAGAGAAAGAGACAGGCGGACAGAGAGACAGGCAGACAGAGAGACAGGCAGACAGAGAAAGAGACAGGCGGACAGAGAAAGAGACAGGCGGACAGAGAGACAGGCAGACAGAGAGACAGACAGAGACATAATCAAACCAGTTCTGCCCAGATGCTGTAAAGGTAATGCATTCTTTATTGGATTGTCTGATACTCGGTCTCATCCCCTGCACACCACACACTCACACGGCTCAACCAGATCCTCTCTCCCCCACTGTGGACCACAGATGCTATTAGGTTGATTAAAGCTGACTGAGCCCAGTCTCAATCACACACATGCAATCACACACCAAGAAAGACTTCTAGAAACGAATAAGAATAAAAAAGAGCACATTTAATACAAATCAGCCTAGTAGGCCTACTTTGCATAAAATACTGTATTGTACTGTATTTTTCCTTTACTGGCAGATACTGACATGAAGGTTGATATTAACTCCAGGAGAGCTGGCCCCTCTATAGGAAGACAGACCACTCATCAAATGAATGCACTGGTAAACAATTGCCTTTAAACAGGCAATGGTGCATCTGAACTGGGCATGACAGTGTAAATGAGTTCCATACATTTCTGAGACAAGCTGAGCACAGAGCAGCATCTCTCAGTGAGGTAAAACCCTCCTGGAGGTCCCTGGGGCCAGGCCGTTCCTCCGCTCCATGTACATGCTTTGCATGATTTATTCAGCACCATAGGTCCTTCGACGTACACAAAACTGAAAACACACACACACAAGCTCCAAGGAACAAGCTCCTAGTTATGTTTTTGTATATGGTAAGATGTGAGGGGTGTTCTGTAGAATTGCTGAGTTAAAAATCCTAAAGTCCCTAAACATTAACTGGATAATTATAGGACAACACTTTCTTGGTACAATAGCTACTTCCAGCCATCTGCATTTTAATAATGCTGTACTTCTGCCTTGAACATTCTGTTCTCTGAAAAACATGCGCATTTAAAACATTGGTTTTAAAGGTTTCAACGGCAGAGGTGCGCCGCGCTTTGACAATGGTTATTTTCCTGTTTGTGCCTGTTCAGTCCTCCCTACAGTCAGAAAATAGCCTAACTGCGTGTTTGACACATGAACATCTTCCTAAGCATGCATTCTGTTCTGCCTGGTGAGAGAGATTGTGGCATTAGGAAATCTATAAATATGAATAACAAAAACCAGGGAGATTGGAATGCAGTGGGAGGGAAAAGTGTCTGAAAACCAAAACAACCACGGGTTGGTTGGCACAAGCCCGAGACAGAAACTAAAGCTGCCCTGTCTGTTCGGCTCAGTGTAAACACATGATCAATAGTGATGGTGGGAACAAATTGATACAGTTACAGTTGAAGTGGGAAGTTTACATACACCTTAGCCAAATACATTTAAACTCAGTTTTTCACAATTCCTGCCATTTAATCCTTGTAAAATGTCCCTGTCTTAGGTCAGTTAGGATCACCACTTTATTTTAAGAATGTGAAATGTCAGAATAATAGTAGAGAGAATGATTTATTTCAGCTTTTATTTCTTTCATCACATTCCCAGTGGGTCAGAAGTTTATATACACTCAATTAGTATTTGGTAGCATTGCCTTTAAATTGTTTAACTTGGGTCAAACATTTCAGGTAGCCTTCCACAAGCTTCCCACAATAAGTTGGGTGAATTTTGGCCCATTCCTCCTGACAGAGCTGGTGTAACTGAGTCAGGTTTGTAGGCCTCATTGCTCGCACACGCTTTTTCAGTTCTGCCCACAAATGTTCTATAGGATTGAGGTCAGGGCTTTGTGATGGCCACTCCAATACCTTCACTTTATTGTCCTTAAGCCATTTTGTCACAACTTTGGAAGTATGGTTGGGGTCATTGTCCATTTGGAAGACCCCTTTGCGACCAAGCTTGAACTTTCTGACTGATGTCTTGAGATGTTGCTTCAATATATCCACATAATTTTCCTTCCTCATGATGCCATCTATTTTGTGAAGTGCACCAGTCCCTCCTGCAGCAAAGCACCCCCACAGCATGATGCTGCCACCTCCGTGCTTCACGGTTGGGATGGTGTTCTTCGGCTTGAAAGCCACCCCCTTTTTCCTCCAAACATAACGATGGTCATTATGGCCAAACAGTTCTATTTTTGTTTCATCAGACCAGAGGACATTTCTCCAAAAAGTACGATCATTGTCCCCATGTGCAGTTGCAAACCGTAGTCTGGCTTTTTTATGGCGGTTTTGGAGCAGTGGCTTCTTCCTTGCTGAGCGGCCTTTCAGTTATGTCGATATAGGACTAGTTTTACTGTGGATATAGATACTTTTGTACCTGTTTCCTCCAGCATCTTCA